GTGATGACAAATACATTGCTTGGGGAGCCTCCGCGCATAAAAGTTTGTTGAGTAGCCCGGGAGTTTGAGAGAGCGGCTGGATCTTGCTTATTTGGCTTTTCTACAGAAAGGGACTAGACCATGCCTAATTAGCGAGGGTATTAAGTTTTTTTTTATGTTTCTGCCTCTAAAACAAATCTAGGCTGTACGACACCGCTTGGTATGGAAAATGGAGCGATCCATGATTCCAGGATAACCGCTTCATCGTCACTTGACAACAAACACATCGCTTTGCAAGCAAGGCTGCATCTCATAGCTGATTCCAGGACGGGGGGAGGGTGGTCGGCTCTTAAAGATGACTTTTATCAGTGGCTTCAGATAGAACTTGGTGGTTACACAACTGTAACGCGTGTAGCGACCCAAGGAGGGAATGGACGAAACGAATGGGTGACACAGTACAGATTGAAATATAGCCGTGCAGGAAATATCTTCATGTATTATAAGCTGAGGGAAAACAGCCCAGCAATGGTAAGTATACATAAAGCTCAGTCGTGTTCGTTAGATTTGTGGTGATTTGTGGGTTTTGTCATTAACCGTAACTGCAATCTTTGACAAAGCCACTGAAGGAAACATTACATAGTCTACAGGTGTATGTGCATCTAAAGAGGCAAACAACATTGACTCCAGACGTAGGGGTGTAATATTAGTTGGTTCGTTACATATAATATACGTTAAAATGCTTGGAATGCATTTAACGTGATATTTTTCTCCAGGGTTGGAATAAGTAATCTCGAAAGCCGTAAAGCGGTAGGAAATATGATATTATCCATCTGAGCTAGAGGGAGGTCGATTGGTTTACTGTTAATTCTAACTTAGGCTGTTCGCAGTACCCTATTTTTCGTAAGATCGGCCATCTTGGTTTCATATTTACCGAGGGGGAGGCAGGGTCGGGGTTTGTAGCGATGGGGGATGGAGGACTCCTCCCAAACCGTCCTCCGCCCCCTAAGTAGATTTGACTTTCATCTCCCGGCTAAACTCGAAACATTTGAAATCAAGATGGCGGCCCGTTACGCAGGGCGCTCGATCTCGATGATCTTACGAAAAAAAGCGGTGGTGTCTAATTCCAACTCGTCGCGGAAAACAGTTGGAGTGACCGTTGGTCATTCAGTTTGTCCTGATTAGCCGGGATTTACTTGAAATGAGAGAGTGAAAACTAGTAGGCTTGTTTTCCCCTTTTAGGTGTTTGAAGGCAATAAAGACAGTAACAGCGTTTTTACAAACAGATTAAGCCAGCCGATCAGAGTACGCTACATTCGCTTTATACCAATAGAGTGGCATAATCACATATCAATGAGAGTAGAGATCTACGGCTGCCCAGGTGTGCTTTACTTACAAATAATTTTCTCAGAGTTGTAGGCTTATGGTACTTTGCCAAACGAAATGAAACGAAACGAAACGAAACGGTACTTTGCGAAACGGTACTTTGCGAAACGGTGCTTTGCGAAACGGTTAAACAAGCGCCAATGCGCCTAAATTTTTCGCGTTGGCGACCAAATCCTGAAAATTAGCAGCCTAGAGTGCTTCATCACACCTTATCTCTAGTACCTAGAATGCTACTGAAAGCTTAAGATTTGTTTCCAAAGAGCAATGTATTAATTTTGTAAAATTTACACGCGTTACACAGAGGACACTAAAATGGTTCATACACAACGTTCAAGTCACCTAAATCCAAGATGGCGTCTGGTAATACATGCTGCTCTTTGGAAACAGACTTAACAAGAATCGCCGAAAGGCGATTTTTAACTGGGCTGCAAAGGGGCCACTTTTTCTGAGGGGAGGGGGCGGCTATACACACTCTGGCTACCATAAAACCTTGTCGGCAACCATTGCATGCAACAGAATCTCATGTGAGACTGAAACATAAACTCATTCAGAACATTGTACCCTTTTGAAAGGCTTTCGTAACCAAAAAAAAGAGTACCATTTTTCAGTGGGGACTGTATAATAACTTTTAAATTCCACCATTATGAATAAAAATAAACAAGTTAGCCATTAATTGTAAGCAGGGAACAATCTGCATTATTTCCACGCACCCCTCCCCCAATCCCTCTGTGCCCCAAAATATAGCGTGACAGTATAACGTGATTAATTTGACGTAACCGGAAATTCCAATAATTGTTGTCCTTCTACGAGCATAAAATGCGACAGACTGAGCTGATTTACACTTGACAGAAATATTGTATTGTATGAAAACCAGAAGTATACTAAAACAGACAGTTAACTGCCCATTGATCCCGCCTGATCCAGGGGCCTCAGTGACTGCACGGAGACTTAACTGCGCTTTTCAGAAACATGCGAACTCTAAAGTTCAAAAGCCACCTTCACAATTGTGCTTATCGCTTCCGTCAATCATAATTACGATCACAAGCAACGAACCTTGAAACAGAGAAACAAACAAAACGGATCGAAATGCACAAATCACAAACCATGACCTTTTGAACCCTTGAAGTAAAGTTTCGTTTCCTAAGAGGTCTGTTAAGATGATTGACAGCAGCGAAGAATGCAATCGTCGGTTGGGTTCTGAACTTCAGAATTCGCATGTTTGTGAAAAGTGCGATCCTAATTTGCGGTCCACAGTCTACATGAAAACGCACTATTTTTTCCACAAGATGAAAAATATTCAGTTTTAACATATTCCTCATGGTATTTTTCTCTAACTTAAAGGAATAAAATCCTTTGCATTTTGAGACCTAAAAAAGTTTAAAGATTTCTCGCTCGCATAGATGAAACGATCGATAACATATTTTTTACCTGATACCGACGTCAGTTAAAAATTCGCTCGAGAGCTGTTTGTCTCACCCAAGACTAACTTTTCTTCATGGAAGATGACTATGCCGCTTTATAACTCGTCCGAAGTTTGTGTGCCAGCTAAACAATATGGAAACACTATTCACAGTGACTCCTTGGATAATAAAAAGACTGAACGTCAGTTGTGAACGTGACGCACTATTATGCCTTTGTTTACTTCTGATCACAAGCGAAGTCTCTCTTTTCAAGCGATTCATCTCAATGCACAATAATTGACCCTTATGTTAGTTAAAATCCTATGGTTCATCTATATTAATGCTGTTTTTGCCCCTCACATTGACTGTGTTCGTTCGTATTCAAAACAACTTTACGAAAATAAAGGTCGTATAAGTCATGTGAATTATGTTTCGAGATAAATGGATTATACGCTTTTTTAAGTTTCCATTTTGCGGTGAATTCAGTTTACATCTCCATAAAATGGTAAAAGAAATATCAAGAAACATCACGAGAGCTGAAAATTTTCAAAGGCATGTTTCTGAAACTCGCTAATGCTGACATCAATATAGCGTGCTTGCTGAATGGGCGAAAACACAGAATTGTGATCACAAGATCTTGTACAAGTTTAATGATAAAAGCTTAGCAAGATACAGATACAAACAAAAGCAAACCCCCTGAAACCTCGACGTGGGCTACACTTGTATGCTCTACTCAGTCACCAAACCTTGTCAGTAATTCTCTATTTTCCAATTGCCCATAATACACTCTGTTTGCCCCCCAAATTCTGCATAAACCATTGTTTTTAAATGCTCCTGGGAGTATTGTATTTTCCCAAGAGCATTTTAAGACAATAAGTTATGCAAAATTTGGGGGGCAAACAGAGTGTATTATGGGCAATTGGAAAATAGTCAATAGCTCCTATTTTCCTGGAGTCGCTCTCTGTGAAGCTCCCGGATGGGATGTCCCGGTGAAGCTTTAACCTTGTGTGCGAAATTCTCAGAGTTCCTATTTTTGTCCGTCTCTTCTTTATCCTCAGTATCCGAAATTTAGACCTCCAAAGTGGCGTGTGTTGCATTAAATAGAAGGAAATATTAAAGGAAAAGCCAGTCTTCTAACATGGCAAAGTTGTCACGTCCCTCGCTCATGGACGTGCATCACATCAGGATTCAACTGCCATTCATCGGCAACTGAGTTGTTCGCTTCACTGACTATGACGGCTTACAATCAAGTATTCAGCCATAGTGTCGTCAACTGGTGAAATACTTTGCTCATGAGTTGTGCTTCTTAATTGCTCATGTACTACATCGACGATAGTTCACGAAGCGGCCACGGCGTTCCAAACCTCAGTCTTTTAGTGTGAACCTACCGTGAACGGCGTATCGGTTTGAATGCAACGCGAGCTTTTCTCTGAGTTTCCCAGCGCCAACATCATCTAACTGACTTAAACTCGAACAATAAAAAAATTATAGAGTAACTCCCATGATCCAATCGCTTCGAACAACACAAATAGCCGTCTTTAGGTTCGCAACGCCTTGTGGGTTTTTCAGGGGGAGCGCAGACGTGTATCCGTGTAAGGCTCCGTGCAAGAGAAACTTATATGAAACCATTTGTAAGAACATCGTTTCTCGGTACCAGACCCTCGTGTCTTCCCTCCCCCGGGAGACCACTTTTTGACACCGACGACCGAAAGGCCATTTTATGACCGGGCCGCACAGGCAGCCCAGTAACGAGGAAATTTGCTCCAGGTTTATCTTTACAAATCTTCAGCTTTCAGTGGAATTCTAGGAACTCTAGATAAGGTGTGATGAAGCATTGTGTTGTAACCGTTTCGCAAAGTACCGTTTCGCAAAGTACCATTTCGCAAAGTACCATTTCGTTTCGTTTCGTTTCGTTTCGCAAAGTACCATAAGCCAGAGCTGTATGTAAGCTAGAGTGCAGTGTGAGCGGTAATGATTAACTTGAATTGGCATGTTGAAAATAACCGTGGTTAGCACCCTATGGAGCGCTTATTTGCTGATTTACCTGCGGAAAAGAAATAATCCTTTGTAATCTACCTAGGGCTTTACTTTAGTCAAATTTTCACGTCAAGTTAGCCTTACATTTGGTAGTAACCACGACGGCGACGGTTGCTAAAACGTCACTAATCATTAAAGTGATTTCGCACTAACTGTTTCAAACTTCACCGCGCTTCTTCCATCACGTTCAAGTTATCAAATGTTGGCAAATTTTCTGGGGTTAAATTCTAAAACAGCTGTATGCAAGTTCAGAGAAATAAAAAAATTCGTCGTCTTGCCTTAACGTCCGCCACAAAAACACAAAATTAGGCAGTTCCGACTTCGTAGTTATGCCGACGGCAAAGAAATGTACAAAAAAGCGGGATGCATGTGCAAAGTTGCCGTTTTGCTTATATTACACCTATTGCTTTTTCGCTGTTCGAGCTGCCCTCGCCGTCGTCGTCGCTTAAGCTCCCTATTATTATGGTTAACTTGTCTCCTGTAACCGCAGCTAATAGTTCCTCTATGATTGTTTGTCTCCTAATGGATACATGGATAAATGATTGGATCACAAATTGAAATTTTTAATACATTTTTCATTAAATTTTCCACTTCCAGACAGAATAAAGAAAAAACGTATGGATTCTTTGGTATGACCGTTCAAAATACGACTTGATGACTGTTTTAGTTTCACGTGGTCACATTCATTAAAAGTGTGTTACGTAACGCAGTTACGGATAGTTTTGCTTGAGCTAAGACTTTCAATTCAAACATACCGGCCCAAAAGATGAAGTTTTATTATAAACTGTACTATTGTACCATACAGGTTGTATAGCACCACTTGGTATGGAAAATAAACAAATATCAGATGCCCAGATCAGTGCATCTTCAATGTCTGATGACAATAGCTCTCCAAGCAAGGCCAGGCTGCACCTCAAAGGAGAGCAAAACCTAACTGGAGGGGGTGGGTGGAGTGCCATTAAAAACGATCTCCACCAATGGCTACAGGTGGACCTTGGAGGTTACAGCACAGTAACACGTGTAGCGACTCAGGGAAGGACTGGGTCCATTGAGTGGGTGACCAATTACAAGTTACAGTACAGTGATGATGGAATGAACTTTCAGTTTTACAAAGAACATGGAAACAAATCAGCTAAGGTACCTTCACACACGTATATGTAAAATACTTTAAAGGCAGCCAGATGTTTTTAAATCAGTTCTCATTTACAACAAGCTAGGCTACTTAGATCGTCCAATATGTTTTGATTAGACCCTGTGTGAAGTCATAACCTGTTTTCTATGGCAACATAGCTGGCAAACAATGACTATATTGTGAACAGTTTTTTCAGGACTAGGTCAAACACATTTAACCAAGCATTGAAGTGAGAGACTTGTTGGTCGTTTGTTTGCTCTTAGGGTTAGGGTTTATGGTTTCACTGTTTCATTACTTATTACAGATTTTTACTGGAAACGATGACAGTGATGCTGTTGTGTATAATGCACTGAGTCCACCAGTCACTACAATGTTTCTTCGTGTATTGCCTATAGCTTGGAACAGTCGTATATCTATGAGGATAGAGCTGTATGGTTGTCCAGGTAATTTGAGTAAGTTAAGGAGGAGCAGTTGTTATAAATTGGCCATTTCCACATATCTCATATTAAAACGTTTTCTCCTCTTGTCAGGGTGGTAATGTTTGTATTCCAAAACAATCAAACCGCGGCCATTTTGTTTTCCATGCCAGTCTTTTGGGTGCTGAACTTTTCTGTAAACACTTTTCTCAATAAATATCCAAAGAGACCACAGGCGTCCCAAGCTCACGTTACGATTGTGTCATGTAAATAAACTTTCTCACTAGAGAGTCGGTGTCGTGCTACAAGCAACCGTTGAGACTTTGTATTACAAATAAAATACTGAGGTATGCGAACGCTAAATGTCATTATTCTGACTTATTTTTCTATAAAATAAATAAAGAAGACTTACCTTTGATGTATTCCTGACATTTCTGGCGTGAATTCATCGATTTAGTTGGTTTTTTTGGCTGTTGTCTCTGTTGTCACTGTTGTTACTATTGTCGCTGTTGTCAACGTTTTCACTGTTCTCACTGTTGCCGCTGTTGTCACTGTTGTCGCTATTGTCACTGTTGTCACTTGTCACTGTTGTCGCTTAAGTCACTGTTGTTACCGTTGTCACTATTGTCGCTGTTGTCGCTCTTGATACTGTTGTTACTGTTGTCGCTATTGTCACTGTTGTCGATGTTGTCACTGTTCTCACTGTTGGTGCTGTTGTCACTGTTGTCGCTGTTGTTACTGTTCTCACTGTTATAACTGTTGTCACTGTTGTTGCCGTTGTCGCTGTTGTCACTGTTCTCACTGTTGTCACTCTTGTCACTGTTCATGCTGTTGTCGCTGTTGTCACTGTTGTGACCGTCGTCGCTATTGTCGCTGTTGTCACTCTTCTCACTGTTGTCGCTGTTGTCGCTGTTGTCACTGTTCTCTCTGTTCTCACTATTGTCGCTGTTGTGGATGTTGTCACTTTTGTAACTGTTGTCGCTTTGTCACTGTTGTTGCTGTTGTCGCTTGTTGTCACGTTTGTCGCTGTTGTGACTGTTCTTACTGTTGTCGCCGTTGTCACTGTTGTCACTGTTGTTGATGTTGTCGCTGTTGTCATTGTTGTCACTTTTATAGCTTTTGTCGCTGTTCTGCCAGTTTTCACTGTTCTCACTGTTGTCATACTTGTCATTCTTGTCACTGTTCTCGCTGTTGTCGCTGTTATCACTGTTGTCGCAGTTTTCACTGTTGTCACTCTTATAGCTGTTGTCATCGTTGTCACTGTTGTCACTGTTGTCACTGTTGTCCCTGTTGTCACTGTTGTCACTGTTGTCACTGTTGTCACTCTTCTCTCTGTTGTCACTGTTCTCACCGTTGTCACTGTTGTCACTGTTATAGCTGTTGTTACTGTTGTTGATGTTGTCACTGTTTTACTCTTGTTGCTGTTTTCGCTCTTGTCACTGTTGTCGCTGTTGTGGCTGTTGTCACTGTTGTTTCGCTATTGTCGCTGTTGTCACTCTTGTCACTCTTGTCGCTCTTGTCACTGTTGTCACTGTTGCCACTGTTGTCGCTGTTGTCACTGTTGTCATTGTTCGCGCTGTTGTCACTGTTGTTGCTGTTTTCGCTGCTGTCAATGTTGTCACTGTTGTTGCTGTTTTCACTGTTTCCGCTTTTGTCGCTGTTGTCACTCTTGTCACTGTTAACACTGTTGCCCTTTTTGTCGCTCTTCCCACAGTTTTCACTGTTGTCGCTGTTGTCACTATTGTCACTGTTGTCCCTTTTGTCGCTGTTATCACTCTTGTCACTGTTGTCGCTGTTGTCACTGTTATCGCTGTTGTCGCTGTTGTGGCTGTTGTCACTGTTGTCGCTGTTGTATCTGTTGTCCCTGTTGTCGCTGTTTTCACGGTTGTCGCTGTCATCACTGTTGGCACTGTTGTCGCTGTTGTCACTGTTGTCACTGTCGTACATGTTGTCACTGTTGTCATTATTGGTGCTGTTGTCACTGTTGTCGCTCTTGTCGCTGTTGACGCTGTTGTCACAGTTGTCACTCTTGCCATTCTTCGCGCTGTTGTCACTGTTGTTACTGTTGTCGCTGTTCTCACTGTTGTTACTGGTGTCATTGTTGTCGATGTTGTCGCTGTTGTCATTGCCGTTGCTGTTGTCGGTGTTATCACTGTTGTCACTGTTGTCGCTTTTCTCACAGTTTTCGCTGTTCTCGCTGTTGTCACAGTTTTGCTGTTCTCGCTGTTGTTACTGGTGTCATTGTTGTCGATGTTGTCGCTGTTATCATTGTTCTCGCTGTCGTCGGTGTTATCACTGTTGTCGCTTTTCGCCCAGTTTTTGCTGTTCTCGCTGTTGTCACTGTTGTCGTTTTTGTCGCTCTTCTCACAGTTTTCACTGTTGTCGCTGTTGTCACTCTTGTCCCTGTTGTCGCTGTTGTCACTCTTGTCACTGTTGTCCCTATCGTCGCTCTTCTCACTGTTGTCACTGTTGTCTCTCTTGTCCCACTTGTCGCTTTTGTCACTGTTGTCACTGTTGTTCCTTCTGTCACTGTTGTCACTGTTGTCGCTTTTGTCGCTGACGTGACTGTTGTCTCTTTTGTCGCTGTTGTCACTGTTGTAAGTTTTTCCGCTGTTGTCTCGGTTGTTCGTTGTTGTCACCGTTGTCACTGTTTTTGCTGTTGTCACTGTTGTTGCTGTTGTCACTTTTGTCACTGTTGTCGTTCTTGTCGCCTTTTTCGCTGGTATCACTATTGTCACTGTTGTCGCTGTTGTCACTGTTGTCGCTGTTGACATTGTTGTCGCTGTTCTTACTGTTTTCACTGGTGTCGCTGTTGTCGCTGTTGTCGTTGTTGACGCTGTTGTCACTGTTGTCACAGTTGTCACTGTTGTTGCAGTTCTCAATGTTGTCGCTGTTGTCAGTGTTGTCGCTATTTCAGTGTTGTTGCTGTGTAGTCACTGTTGTCACTGATTCCTCTGTTGTGACTGTTGTCCCTGTTTTTAAAGTTGTCAGTGCTGTTCCTGTTGCCACTGTTGTCTCTGTTGCTGCTATTGTCCCTGTTCTAACTGTTGTCACTGTTGTTACGTGTTGTCTCTTGTCACTGTTGTCACTGTTGTCAATGTTTTCACTGTAGTCGCAGTTGTCACAGTGTTGTCTATGTTGTCTCTGTTTTTGCTGTTGTTGCTGTCGTCGCTGTTGTCTCTGTGGTCACTGTTTTTGCTGTTGCGCTGTTGTCACTGTTTTCGCTGTTGTCACTGTTGTTGCTGTTGCCGCTGTTGTTACTGTTGTCGCTGTGGTCCCTATTGTTGCTGTTGTCTCTATTGTCAATGTTGTCGCTGTTGTCGCCATTTTCACTGTTGTCACTGTGGTCGCCACTGTTTTCGCTGTTGTCACTTTTGTCTTCGTTGTCGTTTTTGTCACCGTTGTCGCTGTTGTCTCTGTTGTCCCTGCTGTCACTGTTGTCACTATTATCCTTTTTTAACTGTTGTCACTTTGTTGCTATTCTCGCCTGTTGTCAATATTGTCTCTGCTGTCACTGTTGTCATTGTTGTCAATGTTGTCTCTGTTGTCACTGTTGTCCCTGTTTTTAAAGTTGTCTCTGCTGTTGCTGTAGCCACTGTTGTCTCTGTTGCTGCTGTTGTCGCTATTCTCACTTTTGTCCCTGTTGTTCAGTGTTGTCTCTGTTGTCACTGTTGTCGCCGTTGTCAATGTTCTACCTGTTGTCACTGTTGTGAGTGTTGTCTGTTGTCACTGTTGTCACTGTATTCGCGGTTGGCACTGTTGTCTTTGTTGTCTCTGTGTTTTCTGTTGTTGCTGTTGTCACTGTTGTCATTGTTTTCGCTGTTGTCACTGTTGTCGCTGTTGTCACTGTCGTTGCTGCTGCTACTGTTGTCACTGTTGTAACTTTTGTCACTGTTTTCACTGTTTTCACTGTTGTCACTGTTGTCGTTTTTGTCGCTGTTCTCAAAGTTTTCACTGTTGTCGCTGTTGTCACTCTTGTCCCTGTTGTCGCTGTTGTCACTGCTGTCCCTGTCGTCGCTCTTCTCACTGTTGTCACTGTTGTCCCTCTTGTCCCACTTGTCCCTTTTGTCACTGTTGTCACTGTTGTTCCTTCTGTCACTGTTGTCACTGTCATCGCTTTTGTTACTTTTGTCACTGTTGTCGCTCTTGTCGCTGTTGTCACTGTTGTCACTGTTGCCTCTCTTGTCGCTGTTGTCATTGTTGTAAGTTTTTCCGCTGTTGTCTCAGTTGTTCATTGTTGTCACTATTGTCACTGTTGTTGCTGTTGTCACTTTTGTCACTGTTGTCGTTCTTGTCGCCTTTTTCGCTTTTATCACTGTTGTCACTGTTGTCGCTGTTGACATTGTTGTCGCTGTTCTTACTGTTTTCGCTGGTGTCGCTTTTGTCCCTGTTGTCGCTTTTGTCACTGTTGTCGCTGTTGTCGTTGTTGACACTGTTGTCACTGTTGTCACAGTTTTCACTGTTGTTGCAGTTCTCAACGTTGTCACTGGTGTCAGTGTTGTCTCTCTTGTCACTGTTGTCTCTTGTCACTGGTGTCCATGTTGTCGCTATTCTCACTGTTGTCTCTGTTGTCTTGTTTGTCCCTGTCGTTGGTGTTCCCGCTGTTGTCACATCTGTTACTGTGGTCACCGTTGTTGCTGTTGTCACTGTTGTCGCTGTTGTCACTGTTGTTGCTGTTGTCACTGTTGTAACGGTTTCCGCTGTTGTCTCTGTTGTTCGCTGTTTTTACTGTTGTTGCAGTTTTGGCTGTCGTTGTTTTTTTCCCTGTTATCAGTGTTGTCGCTGTGGTCACTGTTGTCATTGTTGTCGCTGGTTCCTCTGTTGTCATTGTTGTCCCTGTTTTTAAAGTTGTCAGTGCTGTAGCTGTTGCCACTGTTGTCTCTGTTTCTGCTTTTGTCGCTGTTCTAACTGTTGTCCTTGTTGTTAAGTGTTGTTTCTGTTGTCACTGTTGTCTCTGCTGTTGCTCTTGTCACTGTTGTCACTGTTGCCAATGTTGTCACTGTTTTCACTGTAGTCGCAGTTGTCACTGTTGTCTTTGTTGTCTCTGTTTTTGCTGTTGTTGCTGTCGTCGCTGTTGTCACTGTTGTCTTTGTTGTCTCTGTTTTTGCTGTTGTTGCTGTCGTCGCTGTTGTCACTGTTGTCTCTTTCCTCACTGTTTTTGCTGTTGCGCTGATGTCACTGTTATCGCTGTTGTCACTGTTTTCGCTGTTGTCACTGTTGTCGCTGTTGTCACTGTTGTTGCTGTTGCCGCTGTTGTTACTGTTGTCGCCGGGGTCTCTATTGTTGCTGTTGTCTCTATTGTCACTGTTGTCGCTGTTGTCGCCATTTTCACTGTTGTCACTGTGGTCGCCACTGTTTTCTCTGTTGTCACGTTTGTGTTCGTTGTCGTTTTTGTCACCGTTGTCGCCGTTGTCTCTGTTATCCCTACTGTCACTGTTGTCACTATTATCCTTTTTTAACTGTTGTCACTTTGTCGCTATTCTCGCCTGTTGTCACTATTGTCTCTGCTGTCACTGTTGTCATTGTTGTCGCTGTTGTCTCTGTTGTCACTGTTGTCCCTGTTTTTAAAGTTGTCTCTGCTGTTGCTGTAGCCACTGTTGTCTCTGTTGCTGCTGTTGTCGCTATTCTCACTTTTGTCCCTGTTGTTCAGTGTTGTCTCTGTTGTCGCCGTTGTCACTGTTATAGCTGTTGCCACTGTTGTCAGTGTTGCCTGTTGTCACTGTTGTCACTGTAGTCGCGGTTGTCACTGTTGTCTTTGTTGTCTCTGTTTTTACTGTTGTTGCTGTTGTCACTGTTGTCATTGTTTTCGCTGTTGTCACTGTTGTCGCTGTTGTCACTGTCGTTGCTGCTGCCACTGTTGTCGCTGTTGTCACTATTGTTGCTGTTGTCTCTGTTGTCGCTGTTGTCGCCAGTTTCACTGTTGTCGCCGTGGTCGCCATTGTTTTCGCTGTTGTCAGTTTTGTCTTTGTTGTCTCTGTTGTTACTGTTGTTGCTGTTACTGCTCTGGGAACGATATAAGGTTGAGATCCCAGGAAAATAGAGGTCTGGAGGGGTAGTCAGGGGCGGGACAGGAAAGGGCGGGAGGTGGTACTTCTAATTGGACGGGGATTTTCGAGAAATTGGGGAAATAACGAAACAATGCTCAATAGTTTGCGAACGAAGAAGGTCCGGCGGAAAAAAAAAAACAAGAAAAAAGGGGTAGGGCCGGGAATGCAGTCTTAGAGAGACGATCACGCTTTAGTGAGTCATAAATATCGATTAAAATCTGCATTTTTTCCACATCTTTTCTCAATTGCATATTCTATTTGTTACCTGCCGTTTAATGAAACGTCATTCTGGGTGCGATTGTGAGGAAAAAGCAGGAAGAGGGACGAGGGAGTATAATGACTGCTTTAAGGGAGTTACTTTGAATAATGCTTACACCGTATGCTACAAAATCACAAACGAAAGTTTTTTGAAGCCAGTGTGTTTTATACCAGCCTATGGGAAGGACAACTGCGATTTAATAGCCAAACTGCCCGAAAATTGAAACTTTGAAAATCCGACCAAGTTCATTGAAATTGCTTTACGAATTATATTCAGATATATAAGTTTTCGAAGTCCTCAGTTCTTGGCATTTTTAAATCATCCTAGGATGCGTCAGTGCCCTTGGCATGGAAAATGATAAAATCCCAGATGCTCATATCACCGCGTCTTCACAGCTGGATGACAACAATAGGGCAGCACTGGCAAGATTACAGTTAAAAGAAGATGGCCTCAAGCAAGGAGGATGGTCTGCTCTTTACAATGACTTTGGCCAATGGATTCAGGTGGATCTTGGTGGTTCCACAAGAGTCACTAGGGTAGCGACGCAAGGAAAGAATGCAGGTGATGCGTGGGTGGTCAAGTACCGACTGCAGTACAGTGAAGACCTTCGAATAACCTTTACTTTTGTCAAGAAGTCAGACAACAGTTCAGCAAAAGTATGTTTGTTTGATTACATGGTGCTTTTCTTCTACTTGCTCTGAAATCGTAAAACAGCATTGCAAGCGCGGGGAATACTCCTTCCGAGAGTGCTGCTGGGGCCTTGGAAACCTTGCCTGCTAAAGTTAGGGTGTTTTTTATTTGTCAGAACTGAGCGGCTACCCCATTACCGTCTTCATTTGAATTTCACTTTTAATCTAAACTACCCAGCGAGGTCGGTCAATTCTAAGTACAGCCATCTCTCGCCTTGCGGACACCCCGATGCTAAATCCCCGGCAAAAACAAATTACAGACGTTTGACTTGAATAAACTCTCGCTATTACGGACTCTCGCTAAGTTGGACACTAACTCGAGGTCCCTGCGCGTCCGCTATAAAGGGAGTTGACTGTAACATGCAAGAAGGAGATGGTTATCCATAAAGCGCGCGCGTGAAATTAGGAAGTTTCACAGAACAACTGTTCAACGACGGCTGAGAAATGTACAAAAAAGCCTGATGCACGTGCAAAGAAGTTGTTCTGCTAATATAAATTTATTGCTGTTTTTCTGTTCTCTTTGGCGTCGCTGTCGCCGTGGCTTATATAAGCTTGCTATTGTTGTAATCCTACGAAGATAACGTGAGGTCAGACTTTTCCTCTTTATTTTACATAAATGATACCAAACTAAATCCCTCTGCTTTTCTATTCTAGACTAGAGTGCTTGAAAACCCCACCCTTTCCAGCGGCGTATACCTATTTAACCTACCGGTATTAAGGAAAGCACGTCCCACCCTTAGGGCTTCGATAAACTACTAAAGGCCGGAGCGAAGGGGTCACATGATCACAACACCTCTTGCAGGGAAGGCAATGACCCTTTGGGCGAAAGAGTCATATGGGGAAAAATCTTCAAGTAATTTAACCCTTTACGGCCTAAGATTGATCAGCATCAAATTTCTTCTTGTAATATCAATGCTTTGTAAAACAGACTGGTCATGATAATTACGGACATGATCACACAAGAGGAATTTGCTTAATATTTTATCAACTCCTCCCCACTACTTCTTTAGCAAACGAATAGGGACAACAAATGAGAATTCAAATTTTGATCTTAGGGCTTAAAGGGTTAAATGACATCTTGAGCGATATCGATCTATGTGGTTCGGGTGCAGGTAAATCATTAGTTTGCTTTTTCTCCTACCCGAAACGCAATTATTTTGTATTTCTTCGCTAAAGAAGTCGAAGGGAGGTTTATACTTGTGGGACAATAATTATATTATCTGCACCCTTTTTCGAAGGCTCCTTTGAACCTTACCCTGAATCCCTTAAAATGTCTGCTAAACAGGGATAACGCAACTTTTCTCTTTCATCTTTGTGCTAAAGGTATTTTACGCAAATCACGACACCGATACCGTGGTGTATAACGTGTTAGCCCCACCAATCACAGCACGTCTGATCCGTATCTTACCAGTGTACTGGCACAATCAGATATCAATGAGACTGGAGATATATGGATATCCAGGTTAGTAAGGAGAAAATTCCCATGCACAATATTTTCGAGTGATGCTGCTAGCAGAGTATTCTTTTGCTTTCCTGTGTAAAAAGAAGAAGAGAGACTGCCTGAATCACGTCAAAACTTTGAAGTCACCGCAGCCCAAACTTCCGAACTAGTCCATCTTGAGGGTCCCCAATAGGATTATCGGGATCCTGGATTTCCCTTATTTGAAGTTCGGGATTCAGGATTTTAAAGCAAAATCGGGCAAGACTCGGGATTGAAAGTATGCGCGCAAGTTAGAATGCTCGAAATCACCCTTGGGATTACGGGACTGCACGAAATTTTGTGTGAAGATTACGGGATTGGAGAACCCTATTGGTCACCCTGTTCTCTCTACGTTTAACTAGAGACTTTTAGATTGAGGCCCATTAGGGGAGGTCTTAATATCCTGTATCCCTGTAATTTTTTGACCAAATTTCCCGTATCCCATAAATTCCGGTCACAAATATCCCGAAAATTAAAGTATCGGCGATCGCGGCTGGCGCGCTATTTTTAGTACTTCATGTTACCCCCACATAGTGCCCATGATAAACCGATGAGTGGTCAAACGGTTTGTTTTTCACTTGTATATTTTTCATTTATATCTAATGATCTCTAATCATCAACAAAAATACAGAAAAGGGCATGCATTTAGTAATCCAAGAACCTTTCTCATCAAACATCTGATATGTTACAATTTTTTGCGAATATCCCGTATCCCTGAAACTACTTCTCGATATCCTGTATCCCAATAACTTTTTCCTCAAATATCCCAAGAACATTATTGGTGCTCTTGTCACTGTTGTCGCTGTTGTCGCTGTTGACGCTGTTGTCACAGTTGTCACTCTTGTCATTCTTGTCGCTGTTGTCACTGTTGTTACTGTTGTCACTGTTGTTGCTGTTCTCACTGTTGTTACTGGTGTCATTGTTGTCGATGTTGTCGCTGTTGTCATTGCTGTTGCTGTTGTCGGTGTTATCACTCTTGTCACTGTTGTCACTATTGTCTCTGCTGTTACTGTTGTCGCTGTTCTCGCTGTTCTCGCTGTTGTTACTGGTGTCATTGTTGTCGATGTTGTCGCTGTTGTCATTGTTGTCGCTGTTGTCGGTGTTATCACTGTTGTCACTGTTGTCGCTTTTCTCACAGTTTTCGCTGTTCTCGCTGTTGTCACTGTTGCGCTGTTCTCGCTGTTGTTACTGGTGTCATTGTTGTCGATGTTGTCGCTGTCGTCGGTGTTATCACTGTTGTCACTGTTGTCGCTTTTCTCCCAGTTTTTCCTCTTCTCGCTGTTTTCACTGTTGTCGCTGCTGTCACTTTTGTCACTGTTGTCACTGTTGTCACTTTTGTCGCTGTTGTCACTTTTTTCACTGTTGTCACTGTTGTCACTGTTGTCGTTTTTGTCGCTGTTCTCACAGTTTTCACTGTTGTCGCTGTTGTCACTGTTGTCACTGTCGTCGCTCTTCTCACTGTTGTCACTGTTGTCCCTCTTGTCCCACTTGTCGCTTTTGTCACTGTTGTCGCTGTTGTTCCTTCTGTCACTGTTGTCACTGTTGTCGCTTTTGTTACTTTTGTCACTGTGGTCGCTCTTGTCGCTTTTATCGCTGTTGTCACTGTTGTAAGTTTTTCCGCTGTTGTCTCTGTTGTTCGTTGTTGTCACTGTTTTTGCTGTTGTCACTGTTATTGCTGTTGTCACTTTTGTCACTGTTGTCGTTCTTGTCGCCTTTTTCGCTGGTATCACTATTGTCGCTGTTGACATTGTTGTCGCTGTTCTTACTCTTTTCACTGGTGTCGCTTTTGTCGCTGTTGTCGCTGTTGTCGTTGTTGACGCTGTTGTCACTGTTGTCACAGTTGTCACTGTTGTTGCAGTTCTCAATGTTGTCGCTGTTGTCAGTGTTGTCTCTCTTGTCACTGTTGTCTCTTGTCACTGGTGTCCATGTTGTCGTTGTTCTCATTGTTGTCTCTGTTGTCTTGTTTGTCCCTGCTGTTGGTGTTTCCGCTGTTGTCACATGTGTCGCTGTGGTCACTGTTGTTGCTGTTGTCACTGTTGTCGCTGTTGTTGCTGTTGTCACTGTTGTAACGGTTTCCGCTGTTGTCTCTGTTGTTCGCTGTTCTTACTGTTGTTGTTTTTGTCCGTGTTGTCACTGTTGTCGCTGTTGTCACTGTTGTCATTGTTGTCGCTGGTTCTTCTGTTGTCACTGTTGTCCCTGTTTTTAAAGTTGTCAGTGCTGTTGCTGTTGGCATTGTTGTCTCTGTTGCTGCTTTTGTCGCTGGTCTAACTATTGTCCCTGTTGTTAAGTGTTGTCTCTGTTGTCACTGTTGTCTCTGCTGTTGCTCTTGTCACTGTTGGCACTGTTGTCAATGTTGTCACTGTTTTTACTGCAGTCGCAGTTGTCACTGTTGTCTTTGTTGTCTCTGTTTTTGCTGTTGTTGCTGTCGTCGCTGTTGTCACTGTTGTCTCTGTGGTCACTGTTTTTGCTGTGTTGCGCTGTTGTCACTGTTTTCTTTGTAGTCTCTGTTTTTACTATTGTTGCTGTTGTCACTGTTGTCATTGTTTTCGCTGTTGTCACTGTTGTCGCTGTTGTCACTGTCGTTGCTGCTGCCACTGTTGTCACTGTTGTCGCTGTTGTCACTATTGTTGCTGTTGTCTCTGTTGCCGCTGTTGTTGCCGCTGTTGTTGCCATTGTTTTCGCTGTTGTTACTGTTGTTGCTGTTGCTGCTCTGGGGACGACATAAGGTTGAGAACTCAGGAAAATAGAGGTCTGGAGGGGTAGTCGGAGGCGGGACAGGAAAGGGCGGGAGGTGGTACTTCTAATTGGACGGGGATTTTCGAGAAATTGGGGAAATAACGAAACAATGCTCAATAGTTTGCGAACGAATAAGGTCTGACGGAAAAAAAAAAAAACAAGAAAAAAGGGGTAGGGCCGGGAATGCAGTCTTAGAGAGACGATCACGCTTTAGTGAGTCATAAATATCGATTAAACTCTGCATTTTTTCCACATCTTTTCTCAATTGCATATTCTATTTGTTACCTGCCGTTTAATGAAACGTCATTCTGGGTGCGATTGTGAGGAAAAAGCAGGAAGAGGGACGAGGGAGTATAATGACTGCTTTAAGGGAATTACTTTGAATAATGCTTACACCGTATGCTACAAAATCACAAACGGAAGTTTTTTGAAGCCAGTGTGTTTTATACCAGCCTATGGGAAGGACAACTGCGATTTAATAGCCAAACTGCCCGAAAATTGAAACTTTGAAAATCCGACCAAGTTCATTGAAATTGCTTTACGAATTATATTCAGATATATAAGTTTTCGAAGTCCTCAGTTCTTGGCATTTTTAAATCATCCTAGTATGCGACAGTGCCCTTGGCATGGAAAATGATAAAATCCCAGATGCTCATATCACCGCGTCTTCACAGCTGGATGACAACAATAGGGCAGCACTGGCAAGATTACAGTTAAAAGAAGATGGCCTCAAGCAAGGAGGATGGTCTGCTCTTTACAATGACTTTGGCCAATGGATTCAGGTGGATCTTGGTGGTTCCACAAGAGTCACTAGGGTAGCGACGCAAGGAAAGAATGCAGGTGATGCGTGGGTGGTCAAGTACCGACTGCAGTACAGTGAAGACCTTGGAATAACCTTCACTTTTGTCGAGAAGTCAGACAACAGTTCAGCAAAAGTATGTTTGTTTGATTACATGGTGCTTTTCTTCTACTTGCTCTGAAATCGTAAAACAGCATTGCAAGCGCGGGGAATACTCCTTCCGAGAGTGCTGCTGGGGCCTTGGAAACCTTGCCTGCTAAAGTTAGGGTGTTTTTTATTTTACAGAACTGAGCGGCTACACCATTACCGTCTTCATTTGAATTTCACTTTTAATCTAAACTACCCAGCGAGGTCGGTCAATTCTAAGTACAGCCATCTCTCGCCTTGCGGACACCCCGATGCTAAATCCCCGGCAAAAACAAATTACAGACGTTTGACTTGAATAAACTCTCGCTAAGTTGGACACTAACTCGAGGTCCCTGCGCGTCCACTATAAAGGGAGTTGACTGTAACATGCAAGAAGGAGATGGTTATCCATAAAGCGCGCGCGTGAAATTAGGAAGTTTCACAGAACAACTGTTCAACGACGGCTGAGAAATGTACAAAAAAGCCTGATGCACGTGCAAAGAAGTTGTTCTGCTAATATAAATTTATTGCTGTTTTTCTTTTTTCTTTGGCGTCGCTGTCGCCGTGGCTTATATAAGCTTGCTATTGTTGTAATCCTACCAAGATAACGTGAGGTCAGACTTTTCCTCTTTATTTTACATAAATGATACCAAACTAAATCCCTCTGCTTTCTATTCCCTGTACTAGACTAGAGTGCTTGAAAACCCCACCCTTTCCAGCGGCGTATACCTATTTAACCTACCGGTATTGAGGAAAGCACGTCCCACCCTTAGGGCTTCGATAAACTACTAAAGGCTGGAGCGAAGAGGTCAGGGTTAGGGTTAGGGTTAGGGTTAGGGTTCCTCTTGCAGGGAAGGCAATGACCCTTTGGGCGAAAGAGTCATATGGGGAAAAATCTTCAAGTAATTTAACCCTTTACGGCCTAAGATTGATCAACATCAAATTTCTTCTTGTAATATCAATGCTTTGTAAAACAAACTGGTCATGAGAATTACGGACATGATCACACAAGAGGAATTTGCTTGATACTTTATCAACTCCTCCCCACTACTTCTTTAGGAAATGAATAGGGATAATAAATGAGAATTCAAATCTTGATCTTAGGGCTTAAAGGGTTAAATGACATCTTGAGCGATATCGATCTATGTGGTTCGGGTGCAGGTAAATCATTAGTTTGCTTTTCCTCCTACCCGAAACGCAATTATTATGTATTTCTTCGCTAAAGAAGTCGAAGGGAGGTTTATACTTGTGGGACAATAATCATATTATCTGCACCCTTTTTCGAAGGCTCTTTTGAACCTTACCCTGAATCGGTCAGTGTAAAACGTAGACTGCGGACTGCGTACCGCAGAATGCGGACCAGGGGTAAAATGTAGACTGAGTGTAAAATGCAGACTACACACTGAGAGTAAAACGCAGGCTGGGGTAAAATGCAGACCGAGCATAATCTGTAGTCGCAGAAGGGTTTAAGGGCAAATAAAATCCCACAAAATACATGAAAACAAACACTTAATTGACGACATGTATCTGGTTTCACAAATGCATTCATTCTTCTCTGGAACTTCGTCGACGACCCAAAAATATAATCGCAATCTTGAACCTTTTTTTCCGTCCGAGCATGGATAATTAATAGTAGACTTTACTTTTTATTATCCATTGTCCGAAAGACCTCACGCTCCAGTTTTCGATACATGTGACCATGAATTGGTACAACAAAGGGGGGGGGGGATGAACTCGTCAATCGCTCCTGTAGGGATCGCGCGACGGATGATCTTGGCCATCGTGACGTCACGAGAAATTTAGCCCGGGAACTTTAAATGGTTTCATCGAGCGAAATTGTTTCGTGGTTTCAAGTGGTAAAAGTCGAGATGTTGCGATGAAACGACCGAAGGTATGTGTTTATCTATTAATGCTATATAGTAAAATTGCAATTTATTCTAGGAAAGAGCATTTCCATCGTAAAAAATCAAGAACTTCTCGAGATCGACCAGATGGTACAACTCACACCGGAGCGTCTTTAGAGACGCATAACTATTATTTATTATTATTACTATTCGGATTAATACACATTTCACTCACCTTCTCGGAAAGAGATGTTGGAACTGCACTATCCTAGCATTCGGAAATGGCAACGGCGCCATTTTCGAAAACTCCTCGAAGTTGCGCGCTTCTCTCTTCGTGACGTCACGATGGCCAAGATCGTCCGGACAAACAAACTACCAAGTTCACCAATCCGCCCCCCCCCCACCAGGAAGCGAAGTGTGTAACTGATACCAGCTAGTTAATTCACCTACCTTGCAAAGCGGGCGCATTTTGCTGTGCGATCGATTTGGACTTTTGTCTGACCGAGCGTTGGGGCGAGTCAAAAAATGATTCAATACAATAAAACGCCTGCTCTGAGGCTATAATTCACCTATTGGGAGAACAAGGAGAACAAGTGTTTAAAAAGTCTGCAGTCGATCTTAATACTGCATTTTACCCCTAGCCTGCATTTTACTCTCAGTCTGCAGTATGCATTTTACACTCAGTCTGCATTTTACCCCTGGTCCGCAGTCTGCAGTCTGCAGTCCGCAGTCTGCGTTTTAAACTGACCGTACCCTGAATCCCTTAACATGTCTGCTAAACAGGGATAACGCAACTGTTCTCTTTCATCTTTGTGCTAAAGGTATTTTACGCAAATCACGACACCGATACCGTGGTGTATAACGTGTTAGCCCCACCAATCACAGCACGTCTAATCCGTATCTTACCAGTGGACTGGCACAATCAGATATCAATGAGACTGGAGATATATGGATGTCCAGGTTAGTAAGGAGAAAATTCCCATGCACAATATTTTCGAGTCATGCTGCTAGCAGAGTATTCTTTTGCCTTCCTGTGTAAAAAGAAGAAGAGAGACTGCCTGAATCACGTCAAAACTTTGAAGTCACCGCAGCCTAAACTTCTGAACTAGTCAATCTTGAGGGTCCCCAATAGGATTATCGGGATCCGGGATTTCCCTTATTTGAAGTTCGAGATTCAGGATTTTAAGGCAAAATCGGGCAAGACTCGGGATTGAAAGAATGCGCGCAAGTTACAATGCTCGAAATCACCCTTGGGATTACGGGATTGCACGAAATTTTGTGTGAAGATTACGGGATTGGAGAACCCTATTGGTCACCCTGTTCTCTCTCCGTTTAACTAGAGACCTTTAGATTGACCAAGAACAATCTATGTCCCCCCTATATTAGTGACATTTTTATTAAGAATAGATCCAAGTATAACTTAAGGCAGTCTGATTTCTCCGCTGCCAAGTACAACATAGCCTCCCCCGCAGGCGTTTTTAGGGGAGATCGTATTTCTTCCCTCCCCACAAAGGAATGTTGTTTTCCTTTGTGGGGAGGGAAGAAATACGAACTCCCCTAAAAACGCCTGCGGGGGAGGCTAAGTACAACACGGTAACATATGGTAAGCTCTCCCTCCGCCACTTGGGGCCCAATCTCTGGGGAAAATTATCCCCAGACTTGAGAGAAGTGACCACTTTAAAATGTTTCAAAAACAAAATACGTAAATTAGATATAGTTACACTAATGGATAATGGTGCAAGTGTTGTCATCTCTGCAATTCATAGACATATTTGTCATACTGTAAATATTGTTAATGTCATTAATTTTTTTATACCTGCGCTTATATGTAAATATTTTTTTTACTTTAATTTATATTTATTTATTTTGTGTCCCCTAATTAACATAGGTTTTTAACCTAAGCTAGGAGGCTTCTTTAGACACTTTAATAAAGTTTCATCATCATCATCGTCATCCGATGAAGATTCTAGTTTTCTACCCTAAACTGTGATTCTTAATTTCAGTGGTTTAATTATCTAATATATATCACATGACATAGGCAAATTGCATATCAATGTTTAAAGAGATTTACAGGGACTATACAATCCCTCTCGGCCTCTACGCGTTTGTTATGCTAGAAGCTCTACAGGGTCGCTAATAGGTTTTTTGGGATCCCGGATTTGCCATAATCTGAACCGAGGTCGGGATTCGGGATTTCAAAATGGAAGTGAGATTCGGGATTTAAAGTATGCGTGGCACGCAGGATACTAAAATTTACCATTAAACAGATGTCAATTTATTTCTGGAGTGTCAAAATACTTTTGGAGTACAGACTAATAATCGTAAAATACTACATTTTCAGTTTATTAACCGTAAAAGACGTAACTTTACGGTTATTATACGTGGAATTGTACGATTGTTAGTGGTATGATGCGTATTACCAGACTATTAATCGTAAAAATGCAAAAGTTAGATTAAGCCGGATCATTCTTGCTCCGTCCGCCATTACGGTCTAAAATATCCAGAGCCGAGTCTTCTAATCACTCTCTCATTTCTTTCCAACTTTTATTTACCGGAAGTCTTTAGTGGTCAAGCTTTCCTTTCGCCAAAAGTAATAACCAAAATTGCTTATGAAAAACCTGCATTCTGAACAATTTTCCAAGTCTACTGTGATCGATGCGAGGCTTCAAAATGCGATGGGACTGTTCTCGCTAGTCATAGTTCTTAGTTTAGCAGAAGTGGGCCAAAAGAGAAAAAAACTATCAAACGGCTTGGAAACTAAAATTTGATAGCATTTTGTTTTGAATAAGGGTATGGGCATGATTTTCAGTTGAACATGCCTAGCGAGCGTAAAAATCGCATCCAGTCTGAGGATTAATGAGAGAGGGAAAATTTTATATATTTAGGCATGACAGAATTCAAGGGAACATTGGTACTTAGAAATAACATCTCATAGGCATGGAAAAAATGGGTTCATGCCCTCGCAGCCCAAAATTGACCCAGCTAAACTTAGGTCCCAGATCTCTCACCGGGTTGATAATTCATTCCCAGTTTTTGCTCCTCTGGTTTTATTGGCATGCCGGGCATGCCGATGGTGAAGCCACTTGGTTTGGCATGCCCGGCATGACAGGCAAGAAATTGGCATGCCCATCGAGACTGATTTTGATGTTCGCTTCAGCATCATATCCTGAGAATCACATATAATCGCCAAATATATCCTAGGGAGCTTAAAGTTACAGGTTTCATGCCTGGCAATAAATGCAGATTATAACAAAAAAAGTCATGTTTGTCACAATGTGTGTCACGGGATCGACTGGCAAAACTGAAGACAGAAGCCTGGATTTATAAATAAAAAGTTCAACAAAACAACATTATTCATGCATAAAATAGAATACATAACTTGCAATCAAAGATTAATCCTTTTATTTCAAACCGATATTGACATTTCTGGGTCCAGATTTAAATTTGATCGCGGAAAAGCGTCTTAAAAAATAAGATAACAAATCTTCTCAGTATAAACTTATCCCCTATCGCGTCCGAAAGTTTCCCGGTCAACAGCATTACAAGACTGGTGAAAATTAGGCTTACCAGGTCGTTCAAGTCAGTACAAGAGTACGACGTTAATACTGCAAAGACGTTCTGCTTTGGTGAATTTGGACTGCCTTCTCAGAGAGATTTTGCTTAGTTTTTCAGTGCGCTCCTTGTCGGCTATGCGAATCTCGCAAACTGTTTTACTCCTTGCTGACGATAGCCCTTTGAGCAACGTCATCTGCGTCATCCGAAGATACCCCGAGCACGCACGAAATCGACCGAATTTCCGCAGAAGTGTTTTCGGATGACGATGAATCTAGTTTGTTGTAGCGTGGCAGTTGTGGCGTCACGATGTCGTCATGTCTCTTCGCACTTGTTTGTCTTTTTTTTCTGCGGTGCATGGTTGAGATGTTAGTGAATGCTGGACAAGAAATGGATTCTGCGAGAGACTGTAAGTACAAATTTAGTATTAATTTGGTAACGAAAAAGCCTGAATATCGAACAAATCCCGTGAATTAGCCTTTAGGCATTCAGTTTATCTTGCTGTTGAGCATGCCTAAGAACTCCGGCATAAGTGGTTGTCAACTCGTTCACTTCGGATTGTTTCTGTTTGTATGTCTTGTAATCTTCTTCTGCTTTCAGAAGACTAGAGAAAACTTCAAAAATAAGACGCCAAAGATAAAAAAAGTCAGATCTAATTTTATAGCTCGAGTATAATTATTTTTGTCACCTACGGTCATATTTTTTCACTGTACTGGTAAAGTTACTTATTTTGCTGCATAGTTTGACTGTTGTTTGAAAGACAATCAAACGGATATTACAATCACTTTTGGCGACAAAATAAAATATCCGTAAATCAAATACCAAAATAAGATTTGGATTTCGCTTTAAAAAAATGAACATGCTGCAGGTGTCAATGCAAAGTTGTGAACAACTCAATATTTATAAGCAGTCTCGGTGAATGTGTGTTTAGGTCCACAAAACTAATTTTTCTTTTGGACATCTCATCCAAGCAAAGACTTAAGGCTTACATTGCTTGTCTACGAGTGTACTACAAAATGCTTTGCTACAGTAAGCCTCTGAGAGGCGATTCTGGTAAATTTATAGGACGCTAAAATGCAAATAATTCTAAGCTTAAACAACCTGGCTGGGTCCGACTTTTGAATTACAAATTGTTCACGTTTGCCGGCTCTACTTTAAATGAACATGGTTTTTGAAATGATTTTGTACTATTTTAACCCGAAAATTATGATTGGGTTATAAAGCTTTTAAAACGGACGAAAACTAGGCTAAAAAAACATGTTCAATGTAAAAAACTAAAGATTTAGTCGCTTTTTCAACTTTGCTTTGTGGGCCGAAAAATTTACCTTTACGCAAAAACAAAAGCAAACAATGAGGCTTTTATTCGACGTATTTTCTGAGAATTTTATCTGATCAATTTAATGTCACTAGCATTGTTTTCGTATAGGAATTTTCCTAATTATATGAGCTTTTAATTTAATAATTTTGATACTCTATAAACTTCTCATTTGATAGCTTCACTTTTTTATACACCGACTGAGAAACAAATTCGCTCTCGTTAAATCCTATTTTATGACCTGTTTATTAGAACTCCAGGTAACATACGAAATGATGTAGCCGGACAGGCTTTAACCTTTGGTCCTAATTTATTTTTTCTTCGCAACCCCTAATCAGTTGACGGGCCGTGAGAGAATATCGCCACAAAAAGACGCGAAAAAGTTTTCGCTGAGTTTCCTTTACATATTCCGGCTTTATATGGGTCTACACCTTACCTGCTTAAAAAGGAAACTGTTGTTCAATTAAGTGTCAGTCAAACTCGGTATAATCTTGGCTTGCAAATCCACATGCAAAGGTTTATTTCGCAGTAGAAAAGGGTGTAAAAATCATCGAACAACGCATTGTAAATTGGCTAATGTGAAACCACGTTTCTTTCACTTTATTTACCATGCATTTATCTCAATTGCACCCTCTTGTGAAATCAGCCTCAGACAATTAGTTGCGACCTTTAACAGACTCAACAAGCCAGTATGAAAATATGTTAAGAGAAGCTGATCTCTACATGTTCTATTTCTTTTTTTCATATTGCCCTTGCATGTGTTAACATTCCATTTCTTTTTTGTTACAGGTAACTTCCAGACATGACGAGGAGATAATTACTTTTCTAGAGAGCAATTCTTTGATACTGTCAGTTATTACTGACTTACTTTGAGTTAAAAACAAAGAACACAGACACTGGTAATGAGACAAAAACATTAAACCCTGGCAAGCCTACAAAACAAGAAAGAGGAACTCAGACTCCTTATCAAAATGTGAAACAAGATAAAAACAGCTTTTCTAACGTAGGGAAAATTGCGTTAGAGAGATTTGTAATTGCAACGTTATATTCAAGCACATTGCATTGTCAAACATCATAATTTACTGAATAATGAACACTGATTTTGGGGCTTAGCTCAGTTTGTAATGAACTTTGAAAGATATTCTATAACTTTGTATTTTTAAAAGCTTTCATGGAACATAGATGCATTTTATTATACAATGAAAATAGTCTCTGTCTCTCTTTTTACTGATTTCAGTCAATTCCATTTTATTCGCAATGTGAAATGGGAATCCTATTAAAGACTCATTAAAAGGGGTGAGGAGTTTTTACAATCCCCCAATAGGTCATCTCCACGATGACGCAGTTTTATTACTACGGCAGAATCCCTCAGGGTTTTACTTTCTTGTGAAAATTAGAGCTTTTGTTATTTAAACTTCGCTGGGACAACCAAATCTATGAAAATGAAAGGACTAGCAATGACGTCATCGTGTAACCGTATATGAAAAGATAAGCACTGTGATCTGTTTAGTTTTTTTTTCTTTTAGCCAAGCTTAAAATATCTGTAGATTCAAGGAATTATAACCTGAGCGTTGAGAGCATGCCAGAGACCGATTTTGGCATGCCCGGCATGACCCAGATCATGGCACGCCCGGCATGCCAGAGAATTTGGCATGCCGGGCATGTCAGAAAATTTGGCATGCCCGGCATGCCGGAGATTTTGCTGGGTATGAATTACTTAATACTAGAACCTAGGCTTCTCGCGGCCTGGGTGAGAAGGTCACAGAACCTCAAATTATGCTTACAAGGCATGCGAAATTCTGTTGCATGTCAATTTCAATGCAAAACCACTCTGGGGCCACCCCCTCTATTACCAATGAGCAAATCATTGACGATAGGCATGGGAAAAATCCTTGCATGCTAACCAACATTGAAAACGTAGCAGAAATGTCCTCAATTGCTGAGTAATGCCCTAGGCGAGGCTTTAAAATACAGAATTTCCTGACATAGATGAGGAAATTTTCCGTAAACAGCATGTGATCATGCCGGCTAGGACGTATTGCCTCCGTATTGCCCCTTTTTACAGCTAGCTAGGCTCATTTTTAGGTTCCATGGCCTGAAATGAAGGAAAATTCATGCCCTAAATGTAAAAAGTCCACAAACGTCCTCGAAATTTTAGTTTCCAAGCCGTTTATCACTGTCTCAGAGAAAAAAAAGCCAGTTTTATTGTTATTAAATTATTAGGGTTTAAAATGATGTAGTCATATCAAAATATTAGGTTTTTTGGTTTTACACTGCTCGATATTCTCATCTTCTCAACTCAGCAGTACATCAAGATACGTACGGAGAAATGTCTTGAATGACCTTTTTATCAAGTTCAGTCGACCCTTTCAAATGAAGATGATTTTATTTTTAACTTTTTGTCTAGTTAAGTTCAGTTAAATATTCCATAGTTGTATAAAAAACCTAAAAACTTATTCCTGAAAACTGTCAATCATTATAGAGATGGAATAGGTATCTGTTTTAAGCCTCGTTCTTCACCGCTTACTGGCGTGGTTTAATTCAGTATTTTTTTCTCTGTTTTTCGCGTCTAAAGGCAAGTTCAAATCTCGTCGGAGACAAGTTTTCTCTTTTTTTTCTTCTTCTTTTCTTTTCTTTTTTTTTTTTTTTTTTTTTTTGCTGGTTTTCTTTTTTAAAACCCATTTTTCATTTTCAACAAATTTTGTTTTAATTAGATGACTTAATTGTCAAGTTGTTAAAAACAAAAATGATATTCAAACGCGATCGGCCGTTCAGTATTCAAACATCAGACTCAGTTTCTTTTCTTTACTGATAGACATATAAGATGTTCATCTAAACCTAGTTAATCATGAAAACGATTTTGTAAATCTATTTCTAGGTGAACTCCATTGGAAGTATAATTTAATAACTAAGTATTACAGCTTGAAAAAAGTACACACTACAATTATAAACCAACAACTTGGCAATACGGCAGCGATCGAGATACAAAACTCGGCACTGGATCGTGCAAGACCTCTAGTTTACAAATTATGGCATTAGGAAGCAAAATGTAACGGGTACTATTGTCATCCATTGAGATTAAGGTGTTGATCAAATCCAATACCTGCCTCTCGAGTCAATCGTTACATCAAAATCGCTGCGATTGCCGCTCGATTGCTGACTAGTTCTCTCTTACAGAAGTTGTTTCCATGTTTTATTATTTGAACTTTCCCGATGATACACTCAGGTGAATTTCTATCGTCATGGTGCCCAGTCTGGTAAACAAGGGGATCTTCTTCTGACTGTTCCAGCCATTTCAAACCCATGTGATCTGCCAGGAATGCGTCACCGTTATAGTGGAGATCTTTTAAAAGAACTGCAAGGAAGAAAGGAATGATATACCTCTTGTAATCGTGCTTGAGAGCAACTACGTCGCCTTTTGAATAGATAATCCCATATTCTTCGGCTGCGTCTTGAACTGTAGATTGTCCTTCACTCCCTTGAACCTCATTCAGCAGATCGACTTCTCCATGTGCCGACGCATTACTTCTGAACATAACTCAGAGCAAGTGGAAGTGTACCAGCCCTTTCTTTGGTCTTCCCTCTCGTTCGTTGCTGTCCTACACCCCGTCCGGATTCTTTCGCAAAGCTCTGCAATGCCTTCCTTTGTCGCTCCTTTCCCTCCACGCTCGTTTCCTCGTCCATATCCTCCCTAAGGTTTACTCTTGCCGTGCGACTTTCGAAGCCATTCCGGTGCCTTTGGACCCAGCTTTCTCTGTGTGTAATGGCTTTGAGGACCGGTATAAAAGATAAACGAGGACCGTGACAGGGTCTATAGCCCAAAGGGCCGAAAAAATTCTTGTAGATTAATATTGTCACTAAAGTCAGTAAATTTTGTGCAAAACAAAATAGCCACTGCACGAATGAGATCTGAAAAAAATAACCCATCCCCGGCTCAAAAATCAAATGGTGGACCCCTTACTGGTGGCCCTTCATGCTGAGTCCTATAACCCTGCAGACTCTGCTACTTGTACTTAGTATGCAACAGTAATTCCTTTCACCCATTCAACCGTTTATTTTATTAAAAAAAAAACTAATGAAAATAAACTACAAAGGCTTTGTTACTTTTATTTCACCGACGTAAGTATTTGGTGTTCCACTTATTTTCACTAATTCTACACTGTAATTTCAGATTATTTATCATACAAGCAATTATCAGTTATACTCGGTAATGGAATGTGTCCTTTACTTTCCCGGCCCAATACTATACTAGTACCGGTAGGTGAACCGATCTCGGTTTCGCATCAGAGTTCGAGATAACCCTAAAGCTCCATGCGATTAGAGCAGATTTATTAAATTGCGAGAAAGCATTTATTTTGCAACAAAGCGCGCGAATTCATTGTACTTTTGTATTCTACTTTTGATGTCCATTCTAATTATCTAAGTACTTTTAAGGGTTAAGTTACTGGTCAAAAAATACGAACCTCGATTTATGGTCGCCTTGTGACTTGCTTAAGGTGATGAGGCAATCGGGACCTATACAGTAAATTCCGCTTTCAATGAATCGGTTTGTCTTTTGTCCTGGCGGTATGGTTATGTTTGATCGGCCGAAAAACTCTATGCTTGGGCCCTATGGACGCAAACCTTAAGATTATGCGGAAAAATATTGTGATAAGAGATTTTTAGACCGGGTAATAAATCTGATCCCTGATTCGGGCTCAAAAGCCTTGTGATCCCTGATCCCATTCTTCTGAGCCCTGAGCTCTTTCCTCTGAGCCCTGATACCAGTCAAATTTTGGGCTTTGAGCCCTGAGCCCATATACCATGTTACGACCCTGCAATCAGAATTGGGGAAATACTTTGAATGAACAATAATATAATTTAACTGAAGCAATAAGCGATATTTTCTTTGAATATCTTCTAGTGTCCAGCAGCTCCAACCCAAATCTATCTCCAACAGAAGTTCTTAGTAAGGAAGCCACTGTTGCCCTTTTTGTTGTGGGAGCAATCCTGTTCCTCTGTATCGTCCTTGGGTTCGCCTACGTTTGCTTTATACGCCATCAGCGGAAGCAGATTGTGGAGTATCGTAATCAGTTTTTTCCAGTATACACTGGAAAACACCAGGTAAAATACCATGTAAAACGAGCTTAAAATGAAGCCACTACATAACAACCAGTGCCTGCTTGGATTCCAATTGCAACCATAGATTGCTCCTCGTTTTAAAATGACCCATTATTGACTTGGCGCGATAATGGGTTTTATGATGAGCCGGGGAATTATCTTATCTTTCAGTGCAAGCTGCAGAGGTGGATAGTCAAGATAACGATAGCTGGCTAGGCACCACACACAGAGCGGGCTATAAATTCGTGAGCTTCGCTATCGCTCTCCCCTTTTTGTGCCAACGCCGATCGTGAGCTGTTTAGCTTTTCAATAGTGAACTTATTTCTTTCTCCAACCCTCCTCCATCCCCTTGGCTCCTCTGCTCTTTGTACTTTTTCACATTTTTCACATGGGCTAATTTTCGCCCCAACTTAATTCACTGAATCAAATAACTGTCATGTTACACTAAGCGATGATTCTCGGTTAATGTGACACTTTAGCACTTGTAATTGGTTTGTAATAACCGCCACTTGAGTGGCCAAATTATTCCAAATATGTGTCTCCTTCATTCAGTGAATCCTGGCCGCGTGCACGAACGCAATTATAAACATTTCAGTCTACTGTCTATATAGTTGGTATAACTGAGCCGCTCTCGGCATAAATAGATTTATACTCACGGATAGTAAAGATGGCTGACATTTTGTCATTTCATTGCAGGCTACGAACCAGTCTGTTCCGCAAAAATAGTCACCACTTTTTTTGTCGACTTACCGTGAGCGAGGTGCCGAGTTTCTTTGCGGAGTGGCCATAAATTTAAGTCTACTTTTCAAACCTAACCTGGCTTTTGTTTATTCTTTGACTCGATTCAAAAAGTGATCCATTACCCTGAAATGGCCTTCTAAATTCAGGTAATACTCATGAACCAAACAGTTTCCAGTTGGAGGGAATGAACTTACCGTTGCTTAGACTAAATAGGTCCCTACTGTATACGTTAAGTAATAAAATATTTCTTGACTGTTTTAGATTGACCCTAATCGTACACTGCTTGAACAATGTAATGATCTGCCTTATGACCCTGATTTCGAGTTTCCTGAGGACAAGCTCATTCTTGGGGAGTTCCTGGGATCAGGGGCCTTCGGAAAAGTCATTAAAGCAGAGGCTATAGGAATAAACAACTTTAGTCCCAGAGACAAAAGTCAAAAGAAAAGTCAGCGGTGGCCTAAAATGTTTCGTAAGCACAGGGCTGGCCATGAGTACCACGATCCCAGAGGCAGTGCGTACACGAAGACCACCGTAGCTGTAAAGACTGTTAAAGGTAAAGTTTCAAGTCAAGAGATCTCTATTTCAACTTGTGTAACATTTACCATGGAGCAAGGATGGCTGGTTACTTGTCGGGGTTGGTGGAGGGGGACAAAAAGGGAATTTGGTTTATAGTTACTGTAGCAGCTGATAATATGCAGGGGAGGGGACGAGTTACCAGGTTACCTACGCGGTAATGATTTGGGAGACGGGGTAGGGTTGATTTGGGAATTTGTGCCTACCAGTGGAAAAAACTCCAGCCATGCCCCTGGATTCAGCATGGGTGAGGTGGGCAATTCGCATAGGGCCTCTCTCATGCATGAGTACCGTTCGTGCTCATTCCTATTGCCGAGGTTTGTGCCCAGTTAAACTGAACTTTGCTTGTGACATAGTCACATGGACTCTACTAGACCCTGTAGAAACTGCACTTTTTTTAACTGACCGAGTACGATATTTTGGCACTTCAGGGGGAGCTACTAAAGAGGAAGTAAGAGACCTGGCATCAGAGCTGAAAATTCTAATTTACGTTGGAGAACACAAAAACATTGTAAACCTCCTTGGTGCTTGTATCAAGCGAGATCATATCCTTGTCATTCTGGAATATGCACCACATGGGAGTTTACAAAAGTTCTTACGAGGCAAGCGAGATGTTTATGAAGCAACCTGGACTACGACTGCGAGTGACCCAGAGATAGGATTGAATATATCAAATCTTGTAAGCTACTCTTACCAAATATCCCGTGGAATGGAATACCTGGCGTCTAAAAAGGTAATGTAGTAATGTTGTCCCGTTCAAGGATTCTCACATTTCTGAAGAAAATTCAGTTCTAACAAGAGCTGTAGTGGCTCTTGGTTGTAATAGACCTTTTTGGTTTATGTTTTATTTTCCCATTTCACACCACGTGATGTTCTCAAAGCAATATGCGTTTTGTCTTTTCATAAAATATACATATATATGCTTGTGGATGCACGATCAAAGGACAACTTTTGAAAGGAAAGGTTCTCTGGGGTACCATCAAGTGGCCTGAAAACGGAAGACAAAACATACAAGCTAAAAGGGTCTATTCTCCAGCACTTGCTTATTTTCTCCGTTTGGCTTCAAGGACTTTTTGTCATGATTTAAATCGTTCATTCGACTTCAAATCTGCGCCTATTTGTTTGTTTTTCGCTTTTAACAGAGTATGACTACTTGAACCGAGGCGCTTGAAAGATTATTATCCAATCAAATCGTTTGAACTTACCGTTTTTTTTTTGGAAAACAAGAGATTCTCTGTTAGTGTAAACGGACCAAAAAAATTCAATGTGCAACTATGAAACTGTTGATAACTTAAAAACCGTTTGAACTTACCTGACTTCTCAGGAATTTAAGCTCTCAAATTTCATGAGAATCTTTTGTTTTCAAAAACCGCCATGATTATTATGATTTGTGTTTGGATAATCTATTTCCAAAAGCCCAGCTTCGAGGATTCGCACTGTAAGAGTTTATTATGAGTAATAAGTGGTAAAAAGTAAAGTAACTCAGAGAGAGGAGGCCTCAGTAGCTAAAACCTCGCGCAAAGGATTAGAAAAAGCAACATGCAGGAGAAAAGGTTACGGGAACTCAGAAGCGTGCGCAACAGCTGTGACATTAAATCAGCCATGAACTGGGAGCGAAAGAAGCGAAGACGTAAGTGTCTGTGGCGTTGGTTTCTCACTGACAATTCAGCGTTCGAGAGTAAGTGAAGAGCATTGTTTAATAATGTTTAGTCTTTATTTACTTTTACTTTCTGTAGCGTGTGCACTTCTCTGTTGGTATAAAAATTGTTTTTCTTGTTTTTCCTGTGATTACTATTATTATTATTATTACTTTTTTAAAATAGCAAAAATCTTTATTAACATATGACCAATTTACATTCCTCTATCATAGACTAAAATTTTGATGAAATAAAGATATTAAAACTAAGATCATAAAACACTAATTTACAAGCTCACCCCATTATCGACTTTCTAAAATTAGCGGACTTATTATTATTATTATTATTATTATTATTATTATTATTATTATTATTATTATTATTATTATTATTATTATATAAAATTATCTCCTTCTTGTTTCTGATTTCTTGATTTTGCATTTCTTTTTTCAAAACATATCTGTTTTATATAGTGTGTTCACCGAGACTTGGCGGCCAGAAACGTTCTTGTTGGAGAAGACTACGTCATGAAGATCGCTGACTTTGGTCTCGCTCGAGATATTTACAAGAGTGAGTTATATGTGAGGACAAGCAATGGTGTTTTGCCAATGAAGTGGATGGCAATAGAATCATTGTTTTTCAGGGAGTACTCAGAGAAAAGTGATGTGTAAGTACAAATGACATTTAAAATAAATGAATGAAGGGAGAATATGAAAATATGCGGGGATCGTACTCAAGGATGACAACTTTATAATTAGTGGGTAACTAGGCGTTCAAATTAAAAAGAAGCTGGCCTTTAGATTACTGCATTTAAGTTAAACTTGCCATAACATAGTTTAGTAGGCGCTCTCCGATTGGCTGAGAAGTATGTTTGCATGCGAGTAACACAGTTAAACGCAACCACGCAACCATGGTTTGAAAAACTGGACAAGTTTACTTTATTAACCCATAACTTAGAGGCATGGAACTTGAAAAATCTTTAAAAATATGCTATATCAAAGTTTTTACGCTCAAGACGGCATTTTAAGGGAGAACAATCCGTCCTTTAAAATATCTCCTCTTTTAACAAATAAAAGAAGCCTTGACTGTGCTGTACGTTGTAAAGCACGCACGACTGGCAGCGGCTTAAACACGAAAGAAGTGCAGGGGGGAACACGAGATGTAGTCGAGTGTTTCTCTCTACTTCTTGAGTAGTACAACAGAATAGAGCTCAGTCAAGACTTCTTTATTTGTTTTATGAATATAAAGAATCCGTTAAATTCCCCACACATTCCTTTTTAATTTTCAAAACAATCTTTATTATTTTTTTAAAAGCAAAAGAGTGTCGTCAGCATGTTTTATACTCTCATAAATGCAAAACAAAAACGTACTGATTACGCGTACAAAACTTCGTGTAGATACAACACTTCGCGACTAGCAAGAACTGCTCTTTTCATCAGCGCCATAAACAAAGAGCTAGGTAGCAACTTTTTCTCGGGGAAAGTTGCCGCTATAAAAGCACCTTAGCAGAAAACTGTTTTTCTGTGGTTTGCAATTTGTACGAATTCTCTTAAATTCTCCTAACACCCGAATCTCGTGTTTATATCAGGGCACGTAAACACAGCAGATAACGTTTTCCGTTTTTTATAAATAGTACTCGAAGGAAAAAGAATACTACTGATAACGATTCTTGAATGTAGCGCTTCATATGCAAGCCATGTAAATTTTGATTCCAATAATTCCCTTGTAGTGGAGTTAATAGCAGCTTACCATCTGTTTCCTCGAGTCCACAGTTTAGCTTAAACAGCTTACAGAGCTTTATTGACGCCCTTTTGGTTTGGAATGACCCAGGCTGTGATGACCCTTCGAGTGTGTATGTTTTGAACCTTGACATTTTATAATGCAGATGGTCGTTTGGTATTTGCTTGTGGGAGATCTTTACACTTGGCGGCACACCGTATCCCACTATACCCGTAGAAGAGCTCCTAGACTTTCTCAATGATGGAAACCGTATGGAAAATCCCCGAGACTGCCCTTCGGAGATCTACAAAATTATGCAAGATTGCTGGCAGAAAGTACCCGACAAGCGACCTAAATTTGATCAAATCAGCCAGTCGATTGGTACAATGCTTGAGCAACGCGCTTCCCAGGTGAGGCCTCTTTTCTACTGTTTTTGAGGGAAAGGAGGAACTAAGAGAACTTATCCTCTCTCTTGTCAGAACTTATTGTACACTAGGTCCTTCAAAGGAAAAAATGAAGTTTATCAAAAGGGTATACTCTCTTGCAATTGAGTGTATATATCCTTTGTTCTGATGGGGCGAGCGGGAATTAAGCTTTGCAGGAAGAATATGAAGAGATGACTTATACTGTGTGCTCTTTAAAAAATTACCATATTTGCAATGCCAGTGGCGGATTCAAATCTCTAACTAAGTGGGGGACCTGCTCATTTAGTCCCGTAGACTGCAGTTTGGCCTATAAAGAAGGTGGAGCCCCGGGCGCCCGGGGGCCCTTGGCCCCTCCCGTAGATCGGGCAAGGAATGATAAAACACGATCTGCATGCTGTTTTTTTTTTTTTTAGACTGACGCAATGCAGGTGCTAAAGCTATACAGATTATAAGAATTTACGATTCTATAAGATCAGAGAATTTTGACTGCCAATTTAAAGAAAGATTATGAGGGATGGCATCTTTTGCTGGTCAGGAGCCCATAACGCAGAGTGAGCAACTTTCATGCGCTTGTGTCACGACGTTTTCACGGACCAGTTTATTTTTAGAACGGTTTTGGCGCGAATTTTGAATATCTTTTAAATTTCACAAACTAGTCAGCAAAACCTACAGACCTAAAAATGGTATTTTCTACCTTTTAATAACGTTTAGGTTTCCGTTCTGAAATCTTATACTTCGAATGCGCTCATAGATCTGATATGGTGGAGATTTTATTTTCGCGGGAAGAAGTGCCCCTTAAAATTTGTCCAAAAATAAACTGATCCGTAAAAACGCCGTGACATAGGCCTAGTATGGAAGTTGCTCGCTCCGGGTTATGGGCTCCTGGCTGATATGTTTATTCTAAACTTTGTTATTGGGCTTATTTTTCACAACAGAGTGTCGAGACCGAGTACCTTCACTTAACAGAAGACAACAACCGTGGCAGAAAAGATGACTACCTTGATCCACATGATTCAGACCCCACTGTTCCTGTGACGAGAGTAGATGTTTATGACAGGTTAGTACTCTAGTTAGTTCAGCCACAAGCGAGTTGGGTTGTCCATACCCGGTATTCCGTACCCATAAAGGAGCCAACAAGTCCCAGGCTAAAGAACTTCCCAATATTAGTTCGACAATAAATACGTTATGTTATGTTAATTCAATAACTGATAGGTAGGACCAGTTCTGCTTATGTACTAGCTTGGCCACTGAGGGAGCGCTTATTCGGGGAAGAAATAGGTGCTTCAAAGGAGTACTGAGGAGACAGTGTATCGTTACTGAGAAACGTACATGGTCATGGTAAAGAACGAAAGGGACTCAGTTACATCGTTACGTAAGAAATAACATTGCTTAACTCGTGGATACAGATGATGGTCTTGCTATGCACGGTAAATTTAAAATTGAGCCGAACGAGTGGCTAATAAGAAACTGTTCAAAGGTATACAAGCGTTCAGAGAATGAGAGGAGAGAGGAGGTTCCCTTATAACATCACTTAATATATTTAAGACAGTGTGCTGGAGGTGATTGTTATTCAAGGAGACTCTTATTTTTCAGTTTGGCAGGCGAATATTTAGGGGAAGACGCTTACTCAACGTGAACGCCTTTTATTTTTGACATTTAAGGCGTAATAGCGTATAAATCTCAGAGTGAGAAAATCTAACTCCGTTCGCTGCGTACAAATCATGTTTCGAGTCCATTGCGGTCGGCATCAAGATTTGAAATAATGATAATAAAATAGAGCATTGCGATCTTGTCTCACAGAATGATCGGCTGGTCGTAAAATGTTTTAGTGTGATTCACGTTGCCTTCTATAATCGTGCGCATAATCTAAAATGTATGGTCAATTTTACAGGAATCTACTATGGTTGACAGCGTTGTTTTCTTCTTATAGGCGATCAAGTGAAAATATTGCAAACAATCCCTTGCCTCCATTACCAGGTGACATGGAAGATCACTTCGATCCGGAATCAGAGGAGAGACGACAGATGCTAAAACCAGAGATTTACGGTGGCTCGTCGGGGAGTGAGGGCGACATAGAAATAGAAGAATTCCATGGTAATGAGTTTGTCTAATGGTCGTGGGTAGGCATAAATAGATTGTGCTCGGCAACTTTTGAGCAACTTTTAGCGTTTTGAGCAACTCTTTGTAGTACCAGCAACCTAGGGCAACTTTTGCCTTCCTTGGCAACTTTTGAGCAACAAATTGATATAAAACCGATCCAAACCATAAAAGGTCGTTTCATTTCGAAAGATTTTATTAAAACTGGTTTTATCAAAACTGAATTTATTAAAACTAAGGATATACAATAAAATGACAATAAAATAACACTTGCATTACGCCCACGAAATCTGGACAGCGGCTATCTGTATATCTGTAAGAGTATATTGATTACAACATAGTATTTATATTTGTCATATAACAATGGCTTTTGGCCTCTTTTAATGATTGTAAGAATATTTAATGAAAATGTTTAAATGGCAACAAGCAAACAAATACGTTTTGAGTATTTATCTAAAACAAAACCACGCTAGAGCAAGCAACTTTTTGATATTTGAGCAACTTTAGAGCAACTTTTGGGTATATTGTGAAGCAACTTTTCCTGAATTTACTAGCACAATTTATTCATGCCTAGTCGTGGGTCGTGGGTCGTGGCAAACTCGAATTTGAACTATTCAACGGAAGTTCATTTCACACTTGTCTGTTGGTTCAAAAGCCGCACGTGACAAAGTAAATCAAATCGCGCATGTGCGAAAGTCACATGGAAGCCTGGAAACAACAAACATGGCGGCTAATCGAGAACGTGCTTCGGCGTTTGGGTCGAAAGAGCGGTTATTTTCAGCGTTGATTCAAATATTCCAAGGCATTTGAAGTGTTAAATGCAAGAGGTAAACTTAACATTGTTTTTTTAAGTTGTGAAAGAAAATGCTGGACTACATTATAAATCAAAGTTGCGACGATAAACGTGTTGTGGACGTTGTTCACGTTGGACAAGCTTAAAGGTACGGAAAATTGATTGAACTGAAGACACCGTGAATACACCAAGACCACGCCATTGCTTAGACATGAAATCTGAGTACAACTCAGGCATGATAGAATGAGAAGGACTTAAATCATTTACAAAGCTTTTTTATCAATATAAACACTCTGTACATGTAACAATAATCATGCAACGGTTTAGTCTGGTGTCAAATTGAGGAGCAATTGTATTCATGTTCAAGTGTGATGTTATAATGTTAAAGTTGCTACATTGATAATTGGCTGTAGAACAATAATATCATCGTATTTTACTAGACACCATCAAGGCAATTTTTAAGATTTTAACTTCAAAGGCAGTTAATTGAGCCCAGAGAGTTTTGTTAAGGTGATCACTGGTCACTATTATGTATCGGTCAAATCGAAGCTTCAAAATCCCCTCCCCTGGGCAACCCCCGGGCATTTGACTTTTTTGAAAATTATTGTTCAAATTACCCCCTACCAGGGCCAAAATGCCCTTCAAATGCCCCACACTCGGGTCCATTCAGATGATCAAACGCCCCCACCCTGGGGACATTTTACAGGTACATAAATGAGAGAAGGAGGGCAGAAACGCCTTCAGTTGTCGAACAAAATCTTTATAAATACAGCAAGTAATTCGCATTTAATATAACAAAAACTGAGAAACACTGTTAGCGTATTTACTAATTCTCGTGCAAAGCGGAGGAAATCGCTGCTACATGGTCACTGAATGCTCAACTTTTCTTCGTGTGTCATGCAACATAGAAAACGTTCTATAAAAAAATTCCACCTACTACATCATGACCATTTCACTGACATTCATCATCGCTCACCTTATACATGCGGCAGGTCAAAGTAATTGACCTCTGTTGAGCTTTTTATTGTTGCATTGAATCGCCGGTAATAGGTATTGTATTTCATTGTAAAGACAACTTTTATACATTCATATATTCAAAACCTGAATCCAATATTGAAAATATTAAAATTTAAATATCTTCAATACGGCACAAAGCTTGTTTAAGCCCTTTTCTCGTAACCAATTGGCCACAAAAGCAAAAAATTATCTTTTCCACGAAAATCCTCCAACACCGCATCCCCCAGGATAGCTCGCCACGCCAGAGATTTCACATGAAATCGAGGGTGCAGTTCAAATTCCCTACCCCTAACGCATGGGGATCAAATTCCCCTCAAATGCCCGGGGTATGCCCGCGGGGGGGGGATGTTAAAGCTTCGATTTGACCGATACATTACAGACACTGGTACTGACCTTATTCTAGTCAATGCCAATGCCTGTAATCAAGAGGCTTCGTTGGTCTGTGAAGCTCATATATGACTGCTTTCGTAGATTTTTTGTTAGTTGTATGTGGAAACTGACAATGTGTCATTCTTTGTGAAAAAATAGCAGTTGTAAACCATTAAAAGCAAAGAGTATCCTTCATGGTACAACATGGCCAAAGATTCTGAGGTTTAATGTTGCAGTCACTTAATGTTATACAGTATTTTTATATATTTTGGGGTGTGATTGTATCCAAGGCCAGGGAACTGATTTCTTAGAATTTTCATGGCCCATGAAATCAATGTATATGGTTTCATGGCCCAACATGGCACACATTTAATGGTATATTCATGACCCATGAAATTGAAATTATCATTTCTCATTTTTCACGACCCCTGAAACATCTGAGTGTAATTTTCATGGCCTATGGAATCTATAACACACCAACTTTTCATGGCTCATGAACCCTAGTGCCAGATATTTCATGGCAATTTCATGAGCCATGAAAACCATCATCAACTTTTCATAGAAACTTCATGGCCTGAAAAATAGGCCATGAAAATGAAATATCTGTATTCAGTGCCCTGAAAAATGCTTTCCTGGGTTTTTAATGACATTTTCGTGGGATTTTCGTAACATTGCAGTTCATAGTGGAGGTGAACTGCAGTTCGGTGACACCAAAGAGGCTTAACCATCAAGGCAACACAAGACACCGTTCAAACTATTGTCTTTGCTGCTTTTCCCAATGTTTTGTTTTTTGCTTTGTTTTTGCTTTGTGTCGTATACAGACTTTAAATCGTGTGAACGGCATTTCTGTTAAGGTATGGTAAAATGTGCAACTTGTTTTGTGACATTGCTGAAAAACGAGTTAAGTAGTGATGTTACGCGTTTTACCACCCACGAATCAACCGTCAGGTTGTTGCAGGTTGCAAAATGTTGTTGCAGAAAGTAATGAGTAGTTCTACTTTTTGCAACAAAATCTGTACATTTTGTGCGTTTAACAGGCCCGACGAAAGCTTGTGTTGAAACAAGTGACGTAACTTACATCTATAGCGCGACTTCCGCGTAATTTTATCCGATCATAAGTCAGTATTTTTACAACTTGCAACAGCCTGATTTGTTGCAAAACAAACAGGTTTGAACGTAGGTGGTAAAACGCGCAACATAGCTTCTCAAGTCGTTTTGCAGCAATGTTGCAAAGGAAGTCGCACGTTGGCCGTTTGACCGTAGCTTCAGGTCTGCAGAGAAACTAGTAGCTTATCTAAATTCTAAATTTACAAAGTATGATCCTCCAATAGGCCACTTCCGAATTCCAAAAACTCTTACTTTCAAAATGAGGCCAAGTGCACAACCTTTCTTGTGAAAATGAGTTTTATTCGCATGAGAATGAAAAATCATTTCCATATCAAAGGCTGAGCACTTAACCTCGTTTTGATACAGAGGCCCGGGGAAACTCGGAAATGGCCTTTGTTTTTGTAAGGTAATAAATTTATTATTCATTTAAAAATTGTCTCCGTTTCTGATTTGTTTAATAGCGGAGCTCTCGCGCGCACGAAGCGCGCGCGCAGCGGAGCACCATGGGTAAGAAAATTTGGTAAACTATCCATCCGAGAAAATTTGGTTATGACGTAGCGTACGCCCACCCGTACACACACTTCATGTAAGTCGATGTCAAATGTCACAATAGATCTTGCACAACTTGACTAGCCTCTTAGTTATGTATACCATCCGTATGAGTACAATTAGATTGACAGCTGTCAAAATCAGACATCCGCTGACAATTATCACGTGGCCATCTCGCGGGCGCAGATGAAAGACCAGTCGTTTTGCCCCTCCATATAAGCTGATATAATATGTCACACTTACCAATTCAACATAAAAACGAAACTGCGCCGGGCAAGGCTGTCAGTTGGCTGACAGTCGTTTAAAGTTATATTGGCAAGCCAAATTAAGGTCAATTGACAGCTGTCAAAAAGGGACATGTGCAGTCCACTATCATAAAACTAATAACGTGGGCTCAGGTTCGCTCAGATACACGATCTGGCATTTTCCACTACATGCCGGACGGTTATGTCTTACTCACACTCGTAGTCTGTCAATTCGAATATTCGCCATTCTAATGAAGGTTAATTGACAGCTGTCAAACTAGAGTATACGCTGACCATCATCACCTGAGTGTATCGCGGGCTCATTTTTTTATCCATTGAGGTCACGTAGAGTTTTGCGCTGATATTTTAATTTGATCACGTGCTCAATTCGAAGCCCCATGGCTTAGAAAATCTCTCTATCCTAGAAAATTCGACAATCACGTGACCGTACATCGACCACCCGACCTTCCGTCTGTCCGCACCACAGGCATACCAATGTTTAATATCACACTTTCTAGCTAGTTTGGGAGCGTGCAACCTGATATTGTACATCCATGTTTTGATTAATTGACAGCTGTCAAAAAAGTGTTTCTGCTGACCAGTATCGCCTGACCGTATCGTGGACTCAGTTATCGACCCACTAAGTTCGAGTGTTTTTTTGAAGGTACCCGCTGCCAAGTTGATACTTTTCAAATGATCGCAGGCTCAAGTTAAATTTTTTTAAAATGCATATGAAATAAGTCGTGTTCATGAGCAGCACTTTTAAAATGTTGATTTCGAACTGACCTCGGACTCGAAAATTCAGCCGGCTTTTACATTTACATGCAGGGAAGGCAATCGCTCTTGACTTTTCTCACTGTCACGCGTTGATCACGCTCTACGTCCAATTCTTATGTTCTGATTGGTCAAAATTTGACAGGTGAGTTCATGCGGA